TAGGAATCTCATATCCAACCAACTAGAGCGCCGGGAAGAAAAAGCAGGTAAAATGGAAAGGTAAAAATTATTAAAGGTATCTTAGAAGAAAATGTCTCATAACTGAAGGAGCTACATATAACCTCAGACCGAACAGGTTTAAACCAAGACGACACCACACTCAGTGGAAGAAAAAACGACATGGCTGCTTTTCATCAGAAGCATTTCTGTACTATATTTATACCATGTTCCTGCATTATTTTAATATTAAAAAAAAAACAAAAACAAAAAACAGCAGCAAGGCTTCAAGAACGCCCCAGAAGAGGAACACTGTCACTAAATAAAACTTTATGAAAATCTTATTGTATGTATAATTTTTAAAGCAAAGTCATCTAAGATTTAAACAAAAATCTCCTCTCAACACGGAAAATTACAGTAGTTTTCTAAAAAACCAAGAAGAAAATAAATTTGATAGAATTCTCGTGGTGGGCCTCAGAGGTGGGCCTCAGAGACATGCTCGGTAAAAGCAGGCCCTTTGCAGATCCAAGTCCGAACTGGAATCTGGAGTACTGGAAATTGGTATTCAGGTTTTGGTTACATGTGAGAAATGGAGAAAAATAAATAGACCAAAAGCAGACTTCTCATTCTTCTCATTAAAGTTCATTGTGAGCCCTTGTTCCTTGACAAATGTGGACTGCCAGTAATTACATTTCAATAGGTAGCAACGCATTTCAATCATTATTTGGGATCAATAAACTGTACGACACAAAAAAATCCTCCCTAAGAACCTAGAAGAAATATGTTGCAACTATTACATTTAAAATTAACATTAATATGAATATGGGATAAATGATCAGTATGGGATAAATGAAACCCAAAATACTGCAGGACCATTTAATTTAGTCACTGCATACTGGCAGGCAATAATATCAGATTCTAGTTACCACAAGACGTAGTACAAAATAATTACTAAGAGCAAAGAGGCTTGAAGACAACCATCTGGGAGGAAATAAAAGCACTGTATACTTACTGATATGAGGCAACTCCAAGTATATGGATAGAATATCCAAGCTATGACTATATAATTTTTAAGCATATAAATGTATATTTATCAAAAGGGCTACTTATAACATTTCATTAATTGCCTTACATAATCATATTGTAAATCACACGATATAAACTAGTATACTAATTTAGAAGTAGTGCTTCCTCGCCTCAGTTCATGAAACAATTTTAATCAGACTCTTCAAATGCATTTCTGACACCCATGTCTATGCAGGATATACGTATTAGTTTAAGGACCCTCACGTAATTATGCAGGATATATGTATTAGTTTCCAATTGCTGCTGTAAAACGAGACAATTTTATTATCTTCCAGTTCTGGAGGTCAGAAGTCTGAGGAAGGTCTCACTGGACCAGAACCAAGGTGGTGGTGACCCCGCCTTCTCAGCCTCAGTGGCCGGCCCGCACTCCACCCTTGCTCCCTTCAGCAATGTTATTCCACCTCTGATTCTCCTTCTCAGGATCCTTCGGATTCCCCCAGGCCCACCCGGGTCACGTGCCTGTCTCAATCGGTTGATTGGCAAACTTAATTGCACCTGTAACCCTGACTGCGTGTAACTACCGTGATGCCCCCAGGCCCGGGGACATCTCCGAGGGGAGGAGCGTTTATTCTGTCCACCGCAGCCCCCAACGCATCAACTTTCCTTCCATCCAAAGTTTTAAGATATAACATTTATGTAAACCTATATATAATCCTATCTCAGGAAATTAAATTTCCAACCATGAGTAGCCATTTACAAAACATTAGGACTGTTGTATTTCTCTTTAAAGTAATTTTTTAAATGTTTATTTACAACAACAATAACGACAGCTAACAGTATGCACCAGCGACTGGCCGAAGCGCTTTAAACACCACCGCGTCTAGTGCCGCCACAGCCCCACAGCAGCGTGCAGCGAGGTAAGCCCGGGAGTGCTCACGAGACCGCATTCCATGTGTCTGCATCTTTGTACCATTTCCATCAGGTGACCTCTAAAAGGAACCCAAAACTAGTGCCAACTGAGGTAAAGTAATGGAGAGAATGTCCCCATACAATAAGAAAACCGATGAGGAGTAAACACGCAGCAGCTCCCTCTTTACAGAACTGTAAAATTCAGGGAAAAAATTTCCTCATGATACACATATGAAGAATGTGTCAAATTCACAGGCAATTTAATAGATGAAAATATTATGCACCGCCTCCTCACCTACCATTACATCACTCCCACCTTATCACTGTATTTGCCACGCACCACCCGATCCGCCTTCAGGACCAGGGACTGCCCCCCCGACAGCTGCCGGGTGTCCCCTCAACTGCGAGCCAGAGCAGTGCCGTAGAACTGTCTCCACTGGAAAAAGCACCTGGCCGGAGGGCACACCCCCTTCCACTCAACCAGAATCCAACGTCATCACCAGAGGTGTAAACGCCCAGCCCCTCACCTCACCTGGGAAAGGCTAAAGGCCATCCTAAGTTCAGGATGCCCCCCAGGGCCAGCCGAAACCTCTAATTAGGCCACATCACAGCCTAACTTCCTCCTTCACAGAATCCTCCCCTTCCTACTGATCCCGAGCAAACTCCCTAATAAGCTTTCTGAACGCTAAACTTCCTGAATTTGAATCTCCATCTCGGGCTGCTGCCCAGATCTGGGAGATGGGACATTTCCAAGTACTGGACATCGATCCAACACTTTCAGACAGCAATTTGATGAGACAAATCAAGAACCTTAAAATATTCACATTCTTAAAGAAGCGATAGGGTAGAAAGGGCGTAGACTCTGAAGCACACAGATTCGAACGCCAGCTCTGCTTTATGAAAGCTTTGAGACCTCAGTCTTGGTCTCCTCATCTATAAAAAAAAAAAACAAAAACAAAAAACGAGACTAATAGTGTCGGTATTTTAGAATTAGTACAATGTTTGAAGTAGAGAACTATGCGAAAGCCCCTGACACACAGTAATTGCTTAATTAGCAGTTAAGGTTATTAATCGGCTGACTTTAAGACTACATGTTACCTTCTTCCCCGTTTACCAACAAACCCAGCCAAACAAGAAAAAATGCCCTCTCCATATTAAGTATCCATTTACAGACTTCCACGGCAAGCTTAGGTCCACCAAGGCAGAGTCCACCTTTCCCAGCTCAGTGACTCTCAAACCGCAGTGGGCATCGGAACCCCCTGGAGGGCTTCTTAAGACACAGATTGGTGGGCCCCACCTCCCGGGTTTCTGGGGTAAGGCCCAATAATTCGCATTTCTAACATGCAACCAAGTGACTTCACTTTGAGACCCTCTGGTCTAAGTTTATCACTGAACCCTGTACCGATTCAGGCCAGTTCCTAAAACACAGGAGATACTCAGATATTTATTGATTGACTAAGACATATAAATAAGTCTACTACATTGTTATTTATAAAAGTATAAAACTAGAAATGTGTAAAAGTGGGATATAATTAAATTATACTATAAGTAACTGTTAAGAAATACAAGTAAAACCATCAAAAAAATGAAAAGCAGCCTACCCAATGGGAGAAAATATTTGCAAATCACATATCTGACAAGGGGTTAATATCCTAAATATAAACAACTGATACAACTCAATAGCAAAATAAAAACAATCTGGTCAAAAAACAGGCAGAGGATCCGAACCTTTTTTCCAAAGAAGACGTACAGATGGCCAACGGGTATGTGAAAAGATGCTCAACATCACTCATCAACAGAGAAATGCAAATCAAAACCGCAATGAGATATCCCCTCCCGCGTCAGAATGGCTAGTATCACAAAGATGAGAAACAGCGAGTGCTGGTGAGGATGTGGAGAAGAGCCACCCTCACGCTCTGCTGGAGCAGCCACTGGGGACAACAGGGTGGAGGTTCCTCAGTTAAAAAACAGAACTACCATAGGATCCAGAATTCCACTTCTGGGTGTATCTAAATGAAACGAAAACACTACCTTGAAAAGATATATGCACACCACGTTCACTTCAGCATTATTTACAATAGCCAAGACGTGGCATTACCTAGGTGTCCATCACAAAGAACATGTGGTAGATAAACACGATGGAATATCACTCAGCCATAATAAGGAAGAATATCTTGTCATGGCGACGTGAAACCTTGAAGGGGTTATGCCAAGTGACATAAGACAGAGAAAGACAAATACCATATAATCTCACGTAGGCAGCATCTTAAAAGAAGAAAAGAAAAAAAAGAACGCGTAGAGAGAGAACAGACTGATGGTTGCCAGGGGCCGGGGGTGGGGGACAGACAACACGGATGAAGGGAATCAAAAGGCACGAACTTCCAGATATAAATTAAGTAAATCCTGGGGACGTGATGTACAGTGTGGTGACTATACTCAATGATACTGTATTGTATATTTGAAAGTAGCTAACGAAGTGGATCTTAGAAGTTCTCAACGAAGAAAAAAATTTTTGCGATATATGGTGATGGATATTAACTAGACTTACTGTGGTGGTCATTGCACAGTATACACAAGTAGCAAATCATTATATTGTACACCTGAAATTAATATGTTGTATATCTCAATTTTAAAAAATACAAGAATGTTGTAGAAACACAGATAAATATATACCAAATAATAAGTGAAAAAAGTAACACAAAATTGTATTTATATCAATTTAAATTACATTAAATATATATTCATATGGATAAATAACAAAAGATATTTCAAAAAATTACTTAGTTTTTGAGTTTAGGATTATGAGAAACCAAGTTTTTTTGTTTAAAGTTTACTCAGAAGATATTTTAAGGTTGAATTAATAAAAATAGCAACACTAAATAATTAAGCTGTATAATTAAAATTTAAAACCATAGCTACCACAGAATATTGTCACCAAATAAAATAGTACGTAGGAGGCATCTATCAATTGGTTGTCAGTTTCCTCAAAATTGGTGTTCTAAAGCACTATTGAAAAGCAGGCACAGATAACTACAAAATACAGACATACATACAAAATCATACATTACCTGCCACGGGAGGGACGATGCCATAAAAACACACTGTTGCAAGTTCTCCATTAACTTCAACTCTTCGACCGATGACATCTGATGTCAAAGTGTCAGTCATTGTAAATACTGCCAGAATCCGAAATATATGAGGAGATCTAGGACGAAAATCACATTGATAAGAACTTAATAAAATTCTTCAAAAAAAATAAATGTTTTTAACCTGAAATGGCATCAATGGGGTCAATGCTTCTGAGCAATTTAGTCTTCACATTTTGGTGAAGAGAACTCATAATTTGATTATCTTTACAGTCTGACTATATTTTGATAATCTAACGTATTTTTCGAATCTCGTTTAACTCCGGTTAGCTCACATCACATGACTTGTCTATCCCATTATTTACCGAAGGGGGTGGGAAGGAGGGAGGATGCGGGGGATAAAGTGATAGAGAAACGGGAAAGGAAACAGGTGATATGGACTTTGTTCTCTCCTCGGGAAAGGAGAAAAACACAAACACACAGATATAGGAAGTGACACATACGATGGACAATAAATGAAAAATGACACTTGAATAAAGACACAGAATCCTAAAAAAAAAGAGAAGGTCTTAAAAGGAGCCTGCGAGAAAAGCGTCATCCGTCTAGGAATGATAACTAGACCCAACTCCCACTTCGCAGGAAAGCAGGAGACTGAGGAGCTTGCTGAATGACACCCCAGGCCGTGGTCGGCCCAAATCCAGACAGTGAGAACCTTTACAGGACAAACAAGTTGGTTTCGTCAACACGTGAAACGTAAGGAGAAAAAGAGACAGACGGAGGGAGGACAAAGATGCAGAGAAACTTGAAACGTCCAACAGCTGCAGTGCGTTGCAGTGTTTGGCGTTCGTCTGCACCCTGATTTTTAAAAACTGTAAATAATTTTAAAAATAAGAGAAATTATGAGAAAATTGAAAATTTGAACACGACTAGATATTTGACGATGTTAAATAACTGTTTCCAATAAGGCTGATGAGTCAATTTATTTTGGAAAAAAAAAAAAAAGAATAATTGTTAAATTTTTAGCTACGATAATGGTATAATGGCTATGATTTTTTAAAAGCCTTTATTTTTTAAATACATATTAAAATATTCGCAGACCTTTTAGAACTGTATTTTCGATCTACCATGCCAGCGGCAGTGTAAATAATACACTGAAAGCAAGTAAGAAACAGAGTGGCCAGTCAGGGAAATACTGCTGAGTTCGGAGTCGGGGCGCTGGCCTTCGCCACCCACGACACGCATTAAGCACTGACTCTATTCCAGCTCCCCAGCTGGCCCTCCCGTCGCACGAAACCTCGGCCCAGTGGCAGGTAGACCCGAGGGAAGAATATGGATTTCAGCGAAAGTTAAGAGCTGGAATCAACAGGGTTTGGTAATTAAATGAACAGAAATGATAAAGACTAGGAAGGCTCGATATTTTGTCTTGGGTAGATTTGGTGGTGCCAGACACTGAAATGAGCAGTATGAGGGGAGGCTTAAGTTTGGGACGGAAGACAGCGAGTTGGAGGTGCCTAATGTCATGATGGACGTGGGACATGGGTCTCTAGTTCAAAAGACAGGTTTCCACTAGAAATGTGTATCTGGGAGTCATCAGCACGATTTATAACTGATACCGTGAAAGCGGATGACATTGAAAGTTGCACGAGATGGAAAGAAGGGGCTCAGTGACAGGACCCCGGGGAAACATAACATTTAAAGGGGAGAGAGAAGAAACGCTGCAGCGCAAGGCTTTTGAAATGACCACAAATTGCAGGACTGAGCGACAAAGTCCTTTTCTACTTTCGTGATGTTACCCTGTAATGTGTGTGCACAATAAGAAAAGCACGCACTGCTCATCACATTCCCGACAACGCAGACGTCCAGACGCAGAGAGCCGAGGTCTCTACTATTACTACATCTCTACTTTTATGTTATCTGTCTAAAAGAAAGAGTAGACATTTCCTCTATCACAGGGGTTGTCTGTTCTCATACCAGAGAATAATCTGAGCGTTTGCATCTCCTAGCAGGTTTCAGTACTGTGTTCTCTCGACCACATGCTCTAGCTTCTCATAAAAACACTTTTCCCAACTCTTGTGAGAAGACCCCTATTTCGAGATGGGGCTGAACTTTGCAGTATAAATATGGGAGGACAGGGCAGCCAAGAAGGGACCAAGTCCTGGATCTAAATCTACCTCGTAGGTTTGAAAAGCAAAAGAGAAATCGTCAGAAGACTTCGGAGGACCTGGGAACACCAAGAGGCGGGCGGGGCAGGCCTGGGAAAGCCGAGTGTCATGAGCTCGGGGACAGTCAGCAGCTAAGGGGTCTGCCCGGTCAGCAGGCAGGGCCCCCTCACAAGCCTGTGTCCAGATGCGAAGTTCTAGTCCCTGAAGAAGAAAACCAGTAAGGTCCCTGCAGAGCTCCGTTCCCACAAGAAGTGAAAACGTCGGGCCGAATGGTGGTTCCACGAACTAGAGCGACAGGGATCATCCAAGCGCAGACAGTCACCCCCAGGCCCCGCGCCGGTGTGAAGTGCTGGCCGGGGCTCAGGCCACGGCGAGGACGCCTGGGTGGGAACAGAGCCCTGGTCACCCGAGGAGCAGGAAACCAGGCGGCACAACAGCAGTGTGAGGGGAGATCCCAGGCAGCCGTCTGCGGCTCCCTTAACTTGGGTACGGAACTCAGGATCGTCAGGTACAAGGTGACTAAGATCAGATTTAACTGGCTCCGCGGCAAGTCAGTGCTGTTGACGATCCTGCCTAGTCTCCTAACCCTTCCAGTACCGCTTTCTCATACTACGATCCTCCGCCACGATCCAGAAACTGGACCCAAAGCTGGTACCCTCTCCCTCTGGCCGGTCAGACCCACTCCAGGCCAGTTCCTGGCCCACTGGGGCCACCACTGCCTGTTGCTAAGCTCCCCCCACCCAGACCCTGCCCCCATTTTAGTGCCTAGTCCGGCCGTCCTGAAGTCAGCTGCTCACCTGGTTACAGTTTCTCTGGTTGCCTGCTCTGGGCCCTCCTGATTACCTGAACCTGAATGTGAGTGGCACGTCACTCTTCCTGGCTTAGGTTTATTCAGGTGCCAACCAAGCCCTGGTTAAGATGGATGCCTTTTATTTAAGTGCACTTGCTCATGAGCTACTGAAGGCAGCCCATTTCGTTTTCGGGTGGCCCTGCTTGTTGGAGAACAGGAGGTGGGACACACCTGTCATTCCCAGCCCTGGGTCTTAGTCGTCCCCCTGCACAGCCACAGAGAAGCAAACGAGCCCCTTCCCAGCTGGCGGTTAAGCATCCGAGGCCACCACTGCACCCTTACTTCCCCTCCGTCCTCCTCTGTCCCACCCCTCAGAACTCCACCAGGGAAAGCGTGATTCCAAGTTCTCCCCATAATTCATTTACCGATTCTCTTCTTAAAATATCTAAAAACGAAAACCATACTCCAGATGTGACTTGACCTGTATGTGGGTTCAATGGTCTGAACATTTACCTAATAATGTAGCCTAATATTACATTCACTTTTCCTCCTTTTCATGGGAAAAACTGTTCTTTACTATTAAGACTGAAATTAACTCAACTCCATAGCCATTTTTGAGTTACTGTCACTTTCTGATCATAAAATTAAAATGTTTAAATTTCAGAATAACTACTAAAAAACAGTTTTTGGTAGTTTGAAATGCCCTTTCAATTGTCATGAGTATGTAAACAGAATTTTATTACAATAGATGTACAACTTCTGTTAATGTTTTAATTCTACAACCACTTTTCTATTCAGCCAGAGAATCACCATTAAATCACTTTAATGCTGACAGCAAGATACCACGATTTACTTCATCATTTCTCTACTGTTATGTGTCTTCACTGTTTACTATACCAAAGAAAACAGGTAAAAACATCTTTCATTTTTAAATTAATTACTGCCCTTTGAAGTATTTCCTTGGAAAAAAATTCGAGACAATTACTCGAAATAAATATGTTTAAGATTCTAGAAAACCATGGCCAAATTGTCGATCAAAAAAATAAATAAATAAAATAACTCCTGACATTGACAGCAAGAGAAAATCTACTTATCCACCTGTTTCTACAGCCTTACGAACGCCCAGCAAAAGCTCTCAAATCAGGTCTTCTCTATCCTGCCCTGTACAACTAATTCCTGAGACAGGAGTTAAAACATTATATGATGTATAAATGTAGGATTTTGCGTTTATATATATATATTAAACATCCAATAATCCAACACATTAACTATCTCTCCTGGCTTTGTCCTGTGCCATTTTTTGTAAAAACAAGACAAAAATGACAACAACAACAACAAACAACAAACAATCTAGGACACCTACCGAAGACAGAAACCCATACGAACAATGGGGGAAATTTTTCTGCTACAAGCACGCCTATTATTCAGCTCTCCTTCAAGAATATCGTGAACTTTGTGAAATGCTTCACTGAAATCAAAATACACCATCAATGAGGGCATATGCTGTCAATCAGGCAGAGGAGGAATGGGGTAAGAGAAAAGTCTTTCGCTTTATGACTTATACACATCGGAGTTGCATGATTATTTTTGGAACTTTTTATTTTTTCGAGCAATAATGAGGAGGAGGAGAATGATGATGAAAAGAGAAAGGCTGTAATGCACCGTTCCCTGCAAATTTCCCTGACTCATCGAGGAATCACAGTCCAAACAAAACATGACGTGGATTTAACAAGAATGACTAAACTCTCTCCAGCTCCTGAGACTATTTTCTAAAGGTTCGAAAACATCTTTCGGAAAAATTATATAACTCCCCTGTTCATTGCTCTTCAAAGACTATGGACAGGCATTTTCGCAATCATATTGGCCAGTTCTTTCAAAAATTACTGGATATGATTTCTCTTAGGATGGAGACTAATTCAAAATGGCCAAATATCATTCTACCTTCTTTTATCTTCGACATGCTTTTCATCAGATATTTTTTGACAAGTCAGGAATCATTCTCCATAAAAAGGACAAAAGAAATCGAATCAACCTGCTATTTCTCTCTCATCTCTTATACTACATCACATATATCTTAACAATATGAATCGAACATGAAAATATTAATTATGAAATAAAGGCAACAAGTAGATGGGTGTTCATTATACTTTTCTCTCCATTTCTCTCT